GTAGTGCTTAGGCGAAGCCCTGCAAAGATCACTTCACCATCACCGTCACCAGGCCATCGTGCTGATGGAACTCATCTACTACCTCGACGTCTTGTTGGATCAAGAAGGCGAGGGACGTCACCGAGCTGAACGTGTGCAGAACGCGGAAGTGTCGTGCGTTCGGTACTTGATCGGTTGAAGCGCGAAGAAGTTCCACTACATCAACCGCGTTGTGAAACGCTTCCGCTTCCGCTTACGGTCTACGAGGGTACATAGACACACTCTCCCCGTCGTTGCTATGCATTTCCATGGATAGATCATTGCGTGTTCGTATAATTTTTTTGTTTTCCATGCAATGATTACCAACAAAATTAATAATATAATAGCATGAAACTAGGGTTGTGGGCGCATGAGCAGCTCGTGGCTCGATCCTTCATCCCCACCGCTCACCACCCCATGGTTGCAGTAGTGGTCGTCCGCCACAAATTAATGTGCCTGTCGTCGCTGCTAATGTCCCTTGTGTCGCGCAAGCCCCCACCACTTCCTCCTCCAGTGAGGCCACCACGTCGAGGGAGACCATCATCGTCATGCTCCATTGACGTCGAGGGAGATCCGCGGCGACCGGTGCCATCCATGGCATGTCATCGTTGATCCGTGGAGGCGAGCTCCATAGCCTCCTCCTTGTCGACCTCCCGTCCACCGCCCCCGACAGCGTGAGCTCGTTGTCGCTTCTTATCTCGTCTCTCTCGCGCGTGCTCTGGACGGGCTCCCCAATGTGGGGTCCCCGAGATCCATGCGGCCCACAAGTGCAACCGTGACCAACACACCAGCCTTGAACTCTCGCTCTGCCACGGCCAAGGTCGGGCATCACTGGAATTGGCCTTGATATCTAGTGTGCCCCATATTAGCACCATTTCATATACCCACCAATGAGTAAAGTTGATTAATTTTATTGTTATTTGTTCCAACAAAAATGTGTGCGGAAACATACAAAACAAAGCTCAATTGCTCAATAAATCTATAATGTGAACCAACACATGATAAAACTTCAAACAATAATATGAGAGTAAAAAATAGTGTTGAATCAAATTTTTACTTCATTTGTGCCTCTCATAACATGATCAATGGTAGAAGAAGAACCAACACCTCAAAGGCATCAAAAGTATAATTTTAAGAAAAGTCATAAATATAAAGTGAAATAATTATCGTTGATACAAATCTAAAAACTTACGACTATGACGAGGCAAACCCCTTTGCGAGATATTTAGGATTGAAAGAGATATGCAATAGCATTATCATCAATACTTGCAAATATGTCTCGCTCAATACAACACTCCATGCTATAAGTCATCCAATCATCAACCCATTTTATACGTTAACTCAGTCTTGATAATACTCATAGCTAAGAAATCTCTTTCCACTGATGTGGTTGCAATTGATAAAATCAATGTTGCAACTCAATGAGACAAAATACCAAATAAAAAAATGACATGTCTATTAATCTAAAGCATCTTCACATCAAGAAAACTATGGTTATTACAACTCACAGAATCTGGATTAGCTCTCACATCAGCAAATGAATGTTTCAAGTTGGTTTTTGTGGACACAAGAAATCTCGTTTATGGAGAAGTCACCAACATACATCTCGGCAAGTCCAACATGTTCGTCTTCATCAAAATTAGCAAATCAGTTCCTTGGATCAAGAAAAGCAATGCATCTCAACAATTGAGTAGATCTTTCAGCAAAGCATTTAGTAAACTCGGTAATGATTTGGTCATGCACAACATTGAATATTTCATACCTGTAGTGGTGACAATTAAAACCATTAAACTACGTGTGAAGGGCGGCCAACCAGCTATGCCATGTGGCGCAAGCTGGTTGGCTGCAGTGAGAAATCTTTTGCAATTTTTTTAGATGAAGGTGTGAATTTGTTTTTAAATATATTTTTAGATGGAGATGAGGACCTTTGGTATTTTTTAAATGGAGGGTTATGCAAAATGGCACTCGCTGGTAGGCTGGTGTGGTAATTATTTATTTTTTCTTTTTTACCTTTTTTTAGATGAAGGTGATGATTTTTTTAAAGATGTTTTTTAGACGGATGCGAGGACTTTATGTATTTTTTTTAAAATAGAAACGTGCGCACAGTTTCCTCTCAAGCGGCGTCACATGGTGGCGCCCCAATCACTAGTAAGTTACCATTTGACCACCACGCCCCTTGAACGACCTCGAGCGGGTATTGTACCATCCATGCTTGGCAATGTAATGTTGTGTTTAACAAAAAAACAGCCATCATGTCTTTCAAGGGGTGATACCCACTATTTTATCTTGCATCTTGAAGTTTCTGCAATGTGGCCCCAATCAAACCCATTGCACGAACAATGTTTTGACCTTTCCATTGCAAAGATTGTGACAACTTATTAGTCTTGCCTAATAGTTTGATCTTAAGATGCAAGTGCAAAAAGACCAAAACTTTTGATCAGAGGAATCATGCCACCTATTGTTATTCTTTGTGTTAAATTGTCGACATCATCATGAATGTTCTTTAATACTTGCAAAATAGATTTCCGTATCATAATAAACCCGAAATAAAGTAAATTGATGGATGCAACAACGCGTGCATTACTATTTTTAGTTGGATGATGAAACACATGTGGGTTTGCTCCCTTTGTCGAGACTTTTCCTCTTATCCAGACACACACCGTGCCCAAATTAATCCAAACAGAACTAATTATAGAACTAAATTGCTGCAACCAACACAACTATAAAACTGGATTGATCGAAGCAAACATTTAATTTACGGTTCACAGGTGTCGAAGCTTATTTACACTTATATAGGGATCAATCTGAAACAACCAGAATTTATCTCTGTTTTCACCAGAATCATTGTTATCTTGACAAAGGCAAGTTAGCTTCCTTTGCCGCTACCCCTGAATTTATTGATTATGAATCGAATCCATGTCCGAATGCTAATCCGCCCTGCTGCCCCAAAATGCAGATGGAAGCTACAGATGCAACTCACCCCAAGGAGAAGAAGGACAAGGTAATCATCTGAAACTTGCATCAAATAAATGAAATGTCTCAACAACCACATCAATGCAACGTGCATGTCATAAAAATGCAGAAAAGTCTGATGAACACGTACGTTCTTATTCATTAAGGAACACGCCAGAGAGGCCAAACCGGCGAAGGAAAAGAAGGACAAGAAGGAGAAGAAAGAAAAGAGCAAGGAGGGCAAGGAAAAGAAAGAGAAGGTCGGAGAGGTAACTGACACGGCCAAGCTGAGGGCAAAGCTAGAGAAGATCGATGTGAAAATCGACGACCTGAAGGCGAAGAAGCAGGAGATTGTGGCTCGACTCCTCGAGCTCGAGGGTAAGGCAGCAGAGGCTGCAGCACCAGCGAGCGGCTGAGGTTTCGATGGGTTGTTGCTTGAGAAGAATGAAACAGCTTTCAGGCAATGCATGCAGCTAGTGAGTGACATATCCACAAGTTGGTGCAGGAATTGTTCGTTCGACTGGCATATATTATTGTGCTTTAATCTTCCTGGAGCTACATATTTGCATCCAGCATTGCATGATCATCTAGATTTTGGTGCACACAAAGTTGTCCACCTTGTATCAAATCCGTGGTAAACTGTGGCATGAATGTACCTCTTAAAGATTTTTGGTATTGGACTCGACCTTTCTTGAAATGTGGAGTATCGAAGTCTGCATTTGTTTTTACATCAAGTGGGGAGCAGGGTGCGAACCTCTGCTGCCATTCAGCATAGAGCATAACAAGCTGCGGCTCACATGACAATACAATGAACTGCGGTTCACAATACGATGAACACACACAAAATCCAAATACCAAATAACATGTCATTAAGTAGTAAGAACGAGAAACTGGGGGCCTATTCGGCTAAATTTCAGTGGGAGGAGCTTCGGAACAATCTCCAAAATTCCAAGGTTTCAAAGAGTTAAATGACAAAACTAGTAGCAACATAGAAATTATAGTATAATAACCATATAGTAACATATAACACTCTCAATTCACAAATAGTTGCGAACACAGTGATAGCACAACTGATATTTTTTACAGATACGCGTTGCACAACCCAAGCAAGTACTGATATTAACATCCATCTAGGCACAACCTCACCTCACCTCACACATAGTATAAGAATAAGCTGTATGTACTTAAAAGTATGCATATAAAAGTGGCATCCATTTTCCAACACTCCTCAAACCATCCTGCCCTGGAGCTGACCATCTCGTATCTGCGAAGCGATGTCTTTGACAGCGCCAGGCCCGTGAGGGATGAACACTGCTGAAGACTTGGAAGAGGCCCCAATGTCCTTCATGGTATCGAAGTACTGGGTCACCAAAACCATATCCATGACATCCTTCGAAGAGGTCCCAGGCACATTCTCAGAGAAGGCGAGAACACTGTCTCTCAGCCCGTCCACTATGGCCTGGCGCTGCCTTGCAATACCCACACCAGCCAAGTATTTCGATTCTGCCTCACCTTCAGCCCTCTTGATCTGCAGAATCTTTTCCGCCTCGGCTTTCTCAGTGGCTGCCAACCTCATCCTAGCAGCTGTAACATAAATTACAATATAAAAGTTAAAAGCTGCTAATCCAACATATCTGGTAATATGTGCTGCAAGGTTATAAAGCTGTACAGCACATACTTTTCAGAGGGATAGCATGAAACAGATATAACAATCGTGAAAAAAGTTTAACTTGTTCTTGAGTAGTAATTGACTAGAACAGTTTGTTACAATCAAACATAAAGTAAAACTGCAGTTACATGGCCGTGCAAGCCATTCAAAACACATATGTACATCTGTAACCCACTCATTTCCATACTCAACTATGACCTTCAAAACCGAAGTGTGAACGAAAAACTAGAAGAAATATTGCCTCCTATTTTCAATATGAAGGTAAAAAAATAAGAAAAAGAGAAATTAGAAAAAAAAATAGTTTTGGGAGGAAATCAAGTACAAATGAGCCCTCTTATTAAGGAAAATCAAAATGATAGCCTTCCAAGCCATTCTCATTTCAAAAGCAAAAGATCACCATTGCAGAGACATCCTTACACACTATGCGGTTGGTTTAAGTGCATCTCTCTCCATAGAGGACGGACAACCACAGCATGAACATAACTATAATATAAGAGTAAATTTCCATAACTGATAGTTTCATATACTATAATATCAGAGCTACAAAATTTAATTTGTGTTTCACAGAATTACACATACTTGAGGGCAACGTCTCAATTAACTACACATTGGTTAAATTCCTATAAATGCAACAGTCTGGAATGTAAGATGTACCTGTCAATGTAATTGTGGTAGAAGGGAGTCCAAGAACAGTGAGGAACAGAGGGAGTAGGCTAGCATATTTTGTAGGCTAGGTGTTTAGATGGGAGTTCGTATTAGGAAAGGTTGAAGGAGTCCAACTGTATTAGGAAAGGTCAAGGGTGTATGCTGGTCTACCATCCACTATATAAGGATGTCATGTATCTAAGGTTAAGCCAAGAAAGAACGATCTATCTATTATTCTACTTCCCCAAGTTATTCTCTCATCTAAATACTCAATCCCTCACGGCCATACCATTTGGCTATCTTCAGCATGGTAGTTATCCTGTTGTGGATCAAGGTTCACAAGAGTAATAGACATCTAGTACATACACTAAGCCAAAACGTGTTCAGTTCTATTAAACTCTGTACTTATCTGACAACTTTGGAGAAGAAAAAAGTGCAGGGAAGAAGTAAGACAACTTATGTAACTTGAGATTAATTTTTAAGTTGATTTAGCTAAAAAAATAGCCGTTACATGATATCAAGTAAATAACAACTTGAAACAGATGCATATGTCTGCAAGTTTAATCTGGGTACCTTTAAATCTTCTAAACTATTTTAAAGCATAGGTTGCTACTTGATTTGACTTTCCAAAGTAACTCAGTTTATTGGTTAAAACTGTCAAAAATTACACATTTGACACAAAAAGAAACAACCTGAAGGGTGTGGGTCCCTTGTTTCAATTAAACTGATTAGCAGACCTGATGCCTCCTCATATAGCAGGAATGTATCATGTGTGTGTGTGTGTTTTGTTGAATTACAGCGCTGTGGCAGGATATGTATAATCGTGTGAAACTTAACTTAGTGTCGATTACTCAATTTGCTGACTACTCAAGGCCATGCCCAATGACTCACTTCATTTTTTTCTTTCAACATGAAAAAGAACTATGCTGTTTCTTGGAAAGCAAATAATTGCTCCAAATGTGAAATGTAAAACCAGACAGTTTTTTTTAGCTGGAAAACTAGACAGTTGATACTACCAAGAATAAAAACGGTAAATGATTTTGTACATGCCTGCATTGATCTCATTCATGGCTCTCTTCACATGTTCATCTGGCTCAATATCAACAATCAGAGTTTGCACAATCTCGTACCCGTAGGCAGACATTGCCTACATAAAAGGTAAAATTAAATTAGTAAAAATCTACCATATGATTTAGAAGACCGATGCATGATGAACAAAAACCTTTTCAAGCTCATCCTCCACAGCCCTTGCTATTTCATTCTTCTGCTCAAATACATCATCCAAGTTCATCTTTGGAACGCTAGCCCTGATCACTGAACATGATGAATAGAGTTCCATTAGCATTAAATGAAGAACAATAGTAAACATAGAACCACAATGTTCAGGTGAATACATAATGGGATGAGAGAACAAAGCAGATGAAGCGAAGTTGTTTGTGCAGTGAAATTGTGCATTGCAATTCAAATCATACAGCAATATTACCATCAAAGACATAGGACTGGATTTGCTCCCTGGTGTTGCTAAGCCTGTAAAAGGCATCAGATGCCTTGTCAGCAAGAGCACGGTACTGCACAGATGCCACAACGTTGACAAAGACATTATCCTGCAGATTAATCATGATATCCATCGTCAGAGAGTTACAAGCTTGTAAAGTTATTTCAAGTTTAAATTGTAGGTATCCCATTCAGATGAGGAAGCATAGATATTGTATGCACGTATTCTCAATGACACAGAATGAATAATAATATGGAATGAAAACAGAACTTCAAATAAGTATTTCACCCATGCATGAAAATGACTCCTCGGACCTTCAGCCAAGTACAAAACAATAATCAAATACAGCAGAAGTACCTTGGTCTTGGTTTCGCATCGGACGTCAAGCTGCTGCACACGCAGAGAAAGATATCCAGCAATCTGCTGCCCTAGGCACCATGGCAAGCAGTGGCATCCAGGTTGCAGGATCGCATCAAACTTCCCAAAAGTCTCCTTGATGGCTACTGTTGATTGATCAATCTGTATCAAACCAAGTACCCCACCCATGGTTTATCTACAAAGGAAGAAACCATGGATTAAAAATGCTGCCATACGCAAAAAAAAGGTTAAAAAATATAATATTTTTGCGTGATTGGCTCATGACCACTCTTGGTGAGACTCTGCCAATGAATAAACGAGAGCGTCATAGAACTAAACCAGATAGTCATGGCTTTACTTACATAACGACTAACGTATGCATACGCTGGCTAATGTCTCAAATGAAAAAACCTGATTAGTTGCAATATGTAGTCATATCAGGGGAAAGGAAATAGTATTACAAACAACAATACGCAGATTATGTTGGAACAGCATGTCATCAAAAATGCAAAAAGAAAAAAAATCCACTCTCCTGTTTGATAGCCATATCTGGGAAACAGAATATCAATATCACAGGTTCCCATCGCAGCATACTTCAAAGGAATCTGAACGAGAATCCCAACTTAAAGGTACTATGGCAGCCCCAGGGAGAAGAAATAAAATCCAGCATACACAAGACACTCTTATGAACTACTAAAAGCGTGGAAAGAATAAAAGCGCACACATACGCTTCTCAATTAGTTCAGTGCAGGGTAGAAACCCAAGGCTTGTATGCTTGAGGGTGTTCTTGGGAAGTTGGGAGCTATATGAAGCACCCTGCACATACATATATAGTGGGAGATAAAGATAATGCTCATCCTAAACGCTGTCTGCAGGATGATGCCAACTGGGGAAGCGCTTCTGATCACTTGTTTTGGTGAAAAGTCAAATGTTCAGCCCCAGCAGGTTCGTCCAACTAATAATCAATCATCACGGCACGTCGTCGCAATCTTTGACAGTGATATGCATCTGTGTCCAAGACAAAGTAAACAAGAATAAGCTGTACAGCCACTTGCCAGCGTCTTATCTTAGTATCCTACGCCAGTAGATATTTCGCAGCTGTGATGCGGCCACCGTGTCAACAACCAAGCAATTTACTAACAATAACATAAAGAAAAGATGCGATTGGCTGAAATCTAGCTGAAATTTCCAAGCCGTGGGTGGGCCGTGGCGACAGTCTGGAACCGGGTTTTGTATGTATGCAAGCAAGGATCGCACAGCAACGCCAGGAACAAGAGCACTAACAATAATATAAGGTGCCAAACAAGAAACATACTACTACTACATTCCTGATGTTCGTCGTTCAGCCCAAGAAACCCTAACAAATCGTCGGCGCGCGCAGGACGAGATGTGGTGTCGAATCCAAAGAAACAGTCGAAATTGGAAAAGGGCCGGAGAAAACACCAAGAAAAAAATGCCATGCTGTAATAAAGATAAGTATCCCCATCCCCACCACGAAGCAAAGAAAGAGAGCAGCTCGCCCAAATCACTGCCAAAATCGACC